TGACCGGCTATAGGTTTCTTAAAGAATAATAATTAATATGAATGTAAATGAATTAATATTTTATTTAGGACAAAATTCATATTTTGGGGTACCTCTATTTGACTCTTCGGTCCTACGCTCTGGCTTTCCGCTCAGATATATTCCTTTTGCAGTATAATATTCATCTATTATACATTCATAGTCGTATTATACATATCCTATTGCTAATCGTAATAATTGCAATTTTTTTTTTAAGTTTATTTCCACTTCATTCTCGCTGTTCTTACAAATTTTCTTTACATTTGATCATATAACCCTGTCTTTAGCCATTGCTCTTTATTCTTACATCATGTTATCACCTTGTAGCTACGTCTGCATAGATATTCTTGAACTTCTGATACAAAATCTCGTCCCTCAAATCTATGTTGCTTCCTTCACTTTTAATGATGATCCAGTCTTCTTCTTCTTCGCTACATTCGGGACAAATTTAATGCTCGTTATTCCCCCCACTCCTATTCAGGAAAGGATAATACTAAAAGGAATCTCTAAAAAATTGGTTGTACTTAGACGGATCGGATTCGTGTAACCTTGGAGAAAGTTTAGTGGTAAGTTCTTATCTTATTGCAGATGTGATGCCATAGAGTTTGGCAGATGGTTACCGACAATTCGGAACAACCTATTGCTTCCATCTTCAGGATGCTTCCTTAAATTTTGCGTCATGTCGGAGAGTACCTTATTCTTGGTACTTTGTGAGGATTTCAGATCTCTTGTCTTCAGTATTTTGGGTCTGTTTTCTTGTGGCGAAGTAACTAATTATTTTCTTAGTTGTGTGATTAGAAAGTTAGTTAGTTGTTTAGATGCGTCAGCTGCTCAGCTATTTTAAAGACGAAGTTAACAGGAGAATCGAGAAAATAGCTAACGTGGAGCTATAATGTTGTACTTAACCATCCTATGGCATTCATAGGTATTGTCACGATTTAGGCGTGTGTGACTATAGACGGGGTATGGATTGGTGTATCGATCCATCGACCACCCACACACACGACTCGGAGCTACAAGCAGTCACAAGGCTATCACTGATTTCCTCACTTTAGAAATCGCTACACGCTAAGTTGTCTCCAACCTGCAGTGTCTTCACTAGTCGTTGCTTGGAAAAACACCTTAACATTGGAGATTTTTCAGCTTCTGTGGTCACGCCGTTGCCTGCTGGTTAACACTACACAAAGGAACTCGTCCAGACCGTAGGAGAACTTGAAAATGGGTACAGATTATTGGTCGGAAAACCAGAACGGAAGCGACCTTGAGTAATAATTTGCGATGAAATTCACAGTTTTGATCTCTGTACAGAAACATACCCACAGTACATGTACAGAAACCTGCATTAAGTACAACGTTTCAGTTCATAATACCGATGTGTGTTGCTGAAGTTAATCACGACATGACTTCTGTGTTCTTGTAAGGCACTGCAGTGTTCCAGATCACACGTTCAGCAAGTCGTCGCCCCTGAGCTCTCGATAGAGACTATAAACAACGAGAAGAAAGTATGTCTGCAGCGCTGAAAAGAATATTCCAAGTTAGCTCTGAGGTTCTTACTGGTGAGACTGTGAAGATTACTGTATTATGGAGTGAGGCTCCGTGTAGCCTGGTTAATGACATAGACGTTTCGAAGGACGTTATTGGTTTGACCCACGAGAATGGATTATTTAAATTACAATTAGAAACTCATTCTGACATACCTACCAATCTGGATTACTTGTGTTCATCTGCACCCTGGCGGTAAAACTGGGAAACTTCACGTACACTTGCTGTTAACAGTGACGCCCTGATCGCTTGAGTAGCTAGCTACATGGACTGTAATCTTTCTTGCGAATCTGATAGTTCCTCAAATGACCAGATACGCTGCTACATTCGAGGAGAGAGTTTTACGACTCCTAGATTAACTGAGAATTACTGTGCTGCCGAGGGTCAACAGCAATTTACTCAACACAGCCTGCTGTGTTTACCGGAATCCTGAGGCAGATGATTAATACTCCACGGAATCATGTCCTGTTTCTTTGAGATCCATTTTAGTATTATCCTTACATGTACACTTGCATCTCTTTAATGGTCTCTTCTGCTCAAGATTCCCAAATATAATTCTATGTGAATTTCTCACCTCTCCCATGCCTGCTACACACTATCCTCACTCGACCTTGATTTGATATCTATAATACTATATGGAGAAGAGTTAAAATTATGGAGCCATTTATTTTGCAATTTTTTTCCACCCTCCGAGGGTAAAATATTCTCTGCGAGACATGAGAAATGAATACAACATTTTGGTCACAAAACTAAAGGGGAAGATTTTGTTTCATAGTTACTGTGTACATGGGAAGATAGTATTAAAATTAATTTTAGAGAACTACTGTGTCGCAGTGAGGAGTGGGGTAGTCTGCCCAGGTTATGGAATTCTGTAAACAATGCAACGAAAATTTCGTGTTCCTTATAAGGCGGAAAATTTTTTACTTAGTGGCAATGACATCAAGAAGGACCCTGGTCCACGGAGTTATTTAGTTTAAATAGTTAGGTTTATGCGCTAATTATGTAATAAATTTAACTGATTCATCTGTATTATTATATCCGAGTTGAGATGTACATATTTGCTAGTATGAAGCATACTTACACACAGTCAGAACGGCTCTTAGAACGGAGAAGCATGCTTCCAAATTGTCTCCTGTCTCTGCGTATGCTACAGTGTTTATGACGTATGAAACCACAGTAGCAAATATATAAAAGCAAGTATATATCATCCAAGGAGACAGAAACCACGGTGTATTCTGCAAACAAAGGATACAGGCGCTAAGAATTTATGTAATTATGAAATCAATAATTCCTATGAAACTCATATCTTACTGACATTTTGTCACCTGAATCGCTTAATATTTCACGTCTAATTCTGATTACGTTTCCTTTTGAGCTACGTTTTTTATTTTCACAGCCTCCACCCTCATTACCGAGCTGTCTGATGAACGACTGAGGCTCTAGAGTTTTATACTGGAGGTGTTGTGTTCGAAACGCTGTCGAGACAGCCGATACTCTGACTGATGGATTTTGATGCTCAAGACGAGTTCCGAAAGAGAGCTTCCATTAGAAGACCGCTTCCTTCCAAATTCAGTTCAATTCATTATAATAATCGAAACATAGAAATTATACAGAGTATCCCAGGGGAGTTCAGGGTTCTGGGAGTTCACAGTAGCGGTCATTCTAAGCAAAATATGTACATGTGCATGTGTCCTATTCCGAAAGTTTTCCGAGTTAGAGCTATATCACTGTACACTGTGCAGACAAGCAACACGCCATGTCCTCACACGAGTTGCGGTGTAATGATGTTGACTGTTGAATTTTCGAAAATATATTATACTAGGTAAACTGTACCGACAGACGGTCACTGTAGCCGAGCGGTCTAAGGCATGCACTGTCTTCGCTCGTCTGGAAACTGGGATCCTGAGTTCGAATCCCACTCAGGGCATGTATGTTTAGTTTGTGTGTGTGAGTTTTTCTGTGTTTGTGTACAGGTAGGAGCCTTGCGACGAGCTGATCACTCGCCCAAGCTGTCCTACCGAATGTGTAAGATCTAGAAAAACTGAAGTGAACGGAGAAGTTCACGGGGGTAGGCCTAGGCCCACTGGGGCTGTAGTGCCAAGGGGGAAAAAAACTGTACCGACTTCGTCTCTTGAATGATAAATACCGGTATTAGATATAGTATGTAACATATCTTTCTTAGCAACATTCTTGAACTGTACAGTGAAGTAACTCTATCTCGCAAACCTTTCGGAATAGGACACATGTACGTATACACATTTTGCTTAGAATGACCGATGACCTCTCTGAATATTTGTCTCTCCTACTGGGACACTCTGTATAGCATGAGGTACCGATAACATCCAAACATGAAACACATTCCACTCCCGTTGGTAATTGTAAGCGTGTTTTCTTCTAGGTCACTCTCCTTAGATGCTTATTGGACTGTTCCATTTTCAACAGCCCCGACAGCTACATATGATATATACACAGAATAAAGTAGTACTTATTATTAGAGGTTGCCATTAGTTGAGGCATACAAATGATTATCTACATTAGTGCTGAATATTGTATAAGCTTGTGGTGAAGAGAGATTTATCTTTGCACAGAATATGGGTTAAGTGTAACAGTGGGTGACGGTGACATGTAGCAACTATTCCATACTTAACGCAATGTCTCATGTGCTTTCGCAATTTCACTTTCAGGTTTCATGATTTTGCTTGCTATTCGTAATTCCTCGTGAATATTTCCTGCTGATGCTAGTAACTGCAATTGTTTTACAAATCTGAAAAAAATTTGACCAATTTTATGACGTGTTTTATTCTTTAAGCAATATTAATATGTCGTTTTGAGAATATAAAATTAGGGCTAAAATATGATTTTTTTTACAATGCGAGTAATTATTTCAACTTCAATGCGTCAGCCAGAAAATCCAGAGGCTCTTGGCAGGTAAAAGAGCAGTGATGACTCTGATGTGGAGCTACATTCCAAAAAATGTGAAATAATGTCAATGAGAGATAAAAAATAAACCCCGAAGATCAGGAGGTAGCTAGAGATCATTGGATTACAGACCATTTTCCTCCAATTAACATGCCCAAGACAGGCACAAAGAATTCTTGGGGACAGTGAAGCTTTTAATATTTTAATTATATGCAGAGTATTTTTCTCTTGAAACAAATACTCTCTGAACTACTTTACTCACAGCTCTTAACCTGATTCATAGTGGCAAGTGAGCAGTGCAGAGATCAGAGTAATGAAAATTTTGGGGCCCATAGAATTCGGAGATTTTCTTGACTAGATGAGAAATATTAACTTTGTAAGCTCCATGTACCTCGTAGTTAGTAAATAGAACATGTTCATTGTGGTTACCCTTCTTGCGCCAATGATAAGTAGAACGGCCATCAACGTGAATAGCGCTGCTATCAAGGTGAGTATTATGCTGGTTACTCTGATAGCTGGAAAAGAGAATATATAGAAGGGCTGTAAAGACCTGTGTCATGGGGTGCAAATGTTGACAATCGTACAGTAATAATTTAAAAGAGCATGTCATTGTACTGAGATAGAAAATGCAATATCATACACCTATACAATTTGCCTAATGTCACTGTCGGTATCACTGAACTCTTCGAAATTACACTTTAAATTAACAGCACATAAGAAAGTTTAAACTTTAAATATTATGTTTAGATAAATGAAATATTGTACTTGAAGGTAAATGTATTATTTTTAATATTATTAAATAATCATTAAGGAGCCGGGATTGCGAAGTCGGTATAGCGACTGACTGCAGGCTGGACGACCGAGGGGTCGGGGCTCTCTTTCCGGTGTGAACAAGAATTTTCTCTTCTCCAAGTCGTCTAGACTGGCTCTGGGGTCCACTTAATCTACTATCCAATGGGTACCAGAGGCTCTTTCCCTGGGGGTAAAGGGGTCGTGGTGTGAAGTTGGCCACTCACCTCCAACTACTGCCGAGGTCAAGAAAATATGGCTCTATACATCCACTTCCCCATACGCCTTCATGGAATAGTGCTTAATTAGTTAAGCACAGGGGCAATTTTACCTTAAATAATCATGAATCGGAAACCATGTAGATAGAAAGCATATTGCGTCATGCATCTTGTTCAGTCTCCTCCGAACTAAAGGGTTCCTGACTTTTTATAAAGGGCGATCGTCTGAGAAGTCGCCGGAAGTCGTTCAGGCTTCCGGGCGGAAGAGCCAGTCGCAAGCGACCCAACGACATGCGGGAAACTCACAATATAACGCGGTGCATACTGTTATTGCTTCCGAACTTCTGAAACTCGAGAGGACGACCGTGGGTGAAAGTCACAGATACTAAGAAAACAAACAGTATTTTACTTCCGTCATATTCACGGATGATCTCGTTACTAGGAGCTTTAGTTGAGAACGCAGAAAGTCATTTAATCGATGCTAAAATAGTGCAGCATTTCTCTTTGAAAAGTGAATATTATTTCACGTGAAATATAACATATAATGGCTGTTATACAGCACGAATTTTATATTGTCAACACGAACTTTCCTCCTTTGAAGATGGAAACGTTGTAAGAGTCACAGAGGCATGAAGTGTGAATCTACGCGAGTAGTAAGCAAAAAATTAAACTTGTTATTTTTTCTAAACTTTCTCCCATAATTTTGTACAGAGATATTAAATTAGCGCATCCTCGAAGATTATTTCAAATTTTCTTCCTACCTGTAGGCCTATTACCGTCACATTTTAAAGCTACTAGAATATGGGTAGGTTAATTAAGTGGCAAAAGGTGACAATAATACCAATAAAAATGTAGGTTGTGCATTTAAAGATAATTAAAATACTTTAATAATCTTTTTATTAGCCAACACATATTTTGGATATTGGGCATCTGGATATTAGCTGGCTAAAAATAAAAATAAAAATCGATTTAAAGTACGTCTTTTCGTACAAAATGTATTATGAAAATCATCCAAAAATGTACAAGAATGGGATGTTATAACGATACACCCATAATAAAATATTAGAAATAAGTTACTTACTAATGAGAGCGTCAAGTATATTCTCTTCCGTCATCGGTCCTGTACTCGCTTGAATAGCAGCTATGATGCCCAATACGACATTCGTAATCCCGCCTATCTGGGAGAACAGTAAAACCAATCCTCAGCTCAACATAAATATTGGGATTTCACAGAAAAGAATTGAACGCTTTCTCTCAACCTGAGGGAAGAAGAGAGATTTGCTAAGATCTGAGGTTTTTACGGCGGTGACTATGAAAGATGCCGTCTTTTGGGATGTGGTGCCGTGTCGATCTTGTGTAAACCGACGTTTCAGAGGAACGTATCACCTCCAACTTCGGGGTATAAAAATCCGCTGGTTCCTCGCTCGCGGATCTTTCTACCCTGAAGATGGAGGTGATACATTCCTCCGAAACATCTGTTCATACAAGGTCTACATGGTGCCGCATCACAGAAGACGACATTCTTCATGGTTACTGCTGTGAAAACCTCAAACCTTGCATACCACTAACTTGTTCTTATTCATAATTATAGTAGTAAGCTCATTATAAGATGCATTGTTGCTCTGATAGAAATGTTACAACAACTAGAATGCAAGTCACAAGTTTACTGCTTGAAAATACCTGCTCGGAGAACTGCGAAGAGCACAAAGACACATGGGCGTACAAAACGCTGTGGTTACCATGAAATTTAAAGAAGCAGCATGGGGTCTACTCACCATTTCAATAATTCCTATAATAATTGTGCCAGTTCCCAGAGAAAAACTGCAGCAACACTGCCTCAGCATTACCACCATCTTGTATGTGTACGGAGAATTTCTAAAACAAAATTAGTAAACCCATCTTATTTTTATAAAACTTAACCTGAAGATGGTGGTAGTAAGTTCTTACGAAAAGTTAGAATCTACCTAAATGACTGCGCGGTAGCAAAGTCTGAATCAATATCGTAATTTTCATCGAAAGAATGCTTGCTATTATTCAGTTCAAAGTATTTTATTTTTTGTCTGCTATCTGGAAACAGGAGGTTAAAATACGGATCAACAGAAATATACGTATTTTGTTTTGTGTGGGTGTGAAACTTGGTCTCTCGGGCTAAAGAAAAATAATATTGTCACGTGTTAGTGGCTAGACACGGAGTTCGAGTGGGTAACTGGATTTACTGGAATTTTGAAACTCATAACTACAAGTACTTATAACGCTATCGCCTATTAACACACGCTACGGCAAGCAATAAGTCCTTTCGTTCTGCTGTGTCTTCGCTAGTCGTCGCCTGGTAACAGCTCCCATCTCAGTAGGTTCCTCAGCTTCCGTGTTCAAGTCCTTACCGGCTGGCGACTCTCTCAATACTCCAATGGGACAGCCGAAGTCAATGTCATATTATGGTTGATGGTCAGTCGGCCAGTCTGCCTTAGTATCAAGCATCCATTTGAGGCACAAGACCAGAATTTCTTTTACAGTCAGACAGATACGTATTTCTTGATGTGGGGTGCTCTCTTTGATGAGAGGACGGGTCTGTTGTTTACGATTGTTGTTTGCCCTCGCCAGCGCAGTCATTCTCGGATCCGAGTCCAGCGTGGTTCATGACAGTAATTTACTGTCTCAGATTCGAGACTCTCCCAGCCTGTGGGCCAGGTCTCCGTGTTCATATCTCCCATGAACAGAGTGGTCGAATTATATCCTCTGGCCCTGGGTTTCCTTTTCGTCGTCCCTTACGAATCGCATGACCAGTATGGAGGAATTCGAGTCAGCCTCCACGCGGGGTACCCATGGCTCAGCCGAGCTGAGGGCTACGTTATAGGCCTATAGCCTCGGGGCGGACCCCACAGAAAACTCCGCTTCAAACGGTTCTTCTAATGTCGATTGCTTTTCTCCAACAATTCCTCCGCTGTTGCGTCAGCTTCTGTTGCCACGGAAACGTGTTTACAGCGCCGACACTTAGCAATGGGCGTCTTTTCCTCTTCCACTATTCCGGCTTTCAGCCATCATGTCACAGTTTGTTGAATGTATCCGAGAAAAGGATACTGATTACAGAATTTTGACACAGACTGGATAAATTACATAGCCAGGAGCTTCATAACGTATTTTATTAATCACATATTATTCCGGTGATTAATACAACTAATTTGAGTTAGGTGAGTCATGCAGCACGCATGGAATAGCTGCAAAATCCATCATCTTAGCCGGACACTATTTATGAAATCTAGGCATAGACTGGAAGATAATGTTGAAACGTACTGTAAACAACTTGGATATGAAGGTAGGACTGGATTCATCTGGCTCAGTTTAGGTCCCTTGGATGGGCTCTTGTGAATACAGTATACACCATCTGATTGCATAAAAGACAGCGACTGTTAGCTCATCAAAATGGGCTGTGCCTCGTGAGGTAAATTAGTATTGTAAAAGACTTGCACGATCAGTTCTTCGTTCATAATTAGTACAATATAAGTACAATGCCTAAGTGAGTAACATCCTTGCGCACATAAATCCAATAACAGAATAGCATCGCGCACTGCAAGTGCTAGGAAATTCCAGGAGTGACTGTAGATTATCCCGTTTCTCTCCATCCCACCGGTCCCCCTTTATCGCAGCTGTCCGCGCGCTCTTCTGAGCCATAAGCGCTTATTACGTAATGTACTGTGAAGGTAGATTTGTTCCTGTGCCTACATAATTAAGCACTATGCCATTAAGACATATGGGGGACTGGAGCTACTGATTTTACAAACGGTAGGACTCCTTGGACGGGTGATTAGTTCGTCGCAAGGCCTCTACCTAAACACAGGACAACACAAACACAGAATAAACACATCCAAATATAAACCATCTATGCCTTGTGTGGGAATCGAACCCACGATCCCGGTTTCCAAGAGAGCGAAGACAGTACATGACCTAGACCGCTCGGATACCGTGACCGGCTATTGAGAAATTTGCTTCTCTAAAACCACGAAAAGCTGGTTTGTAATTTTAGTTATTATAATAAATAAGAACAAGAACAACATAATCATCATCCTGATGGGGATATCCTTGGTGCACCCCCCCCCACACACAACTGTAAAACCTGCTCTGATTGTTAACGCTGTTGATTAATTAAAATATCCGATATATTATGTATAAAAATTATCTTAACATAAGCTTTATTATTTCATCGGATATGAGGTTTCTTCAGTAACCTGAGTTAGCATCACTCCCACCTCAGACATTTTCTATGTGGAAGCCACTTTATTATGCTTCTGTACCAGGGAAATGCAAAGCACAAGAAAATGACGTCCACACTAGATTTCTTGGAAGCTGGCTGCTTCATTTACCCACGCCCTGACAATATATCACGCTAATCTTATCGTAAATGATAAAGTATAAGTGAGGACAAAAATCAGTTCGGTTTGACTCAAAGTGCTCAACTAATACTGTTACTGAACGAACTATTTCAGTGCTGCCTTATAGTCATATTTATTTCCACGGATTTTGCATTGTTTAATTGCTAAAAAATATGTCTTTCACATATTCTGAATGATATCTTACTAAGTGTATACCGTTCACCACTGAAACTTAGATAAAATATTGTAACGTGTTTTGCTACTGATGATGAGAAATTACACTAAACATGTCTGACTCATTCCGTTGTATGTCAAATTCCTGCAGTTCCTTTAAATTTTGAGAGCATCTTGATAAGTCTTCACTCCACATTTTCTTCTTCCATCACAATGTCATTTTTCTGTTCCTCCTCCTCCCACAACTCTTGTCTCTGTAGCCATGATGACAACTGCTAGACTGAAGTAAAAATGTAGGCCTAGAGCCCTTAGTGAGTAAAATTTCCGGAAGAGGCAAACAGTTCAGTTGAATTTCAGTGCAGTATCGTTAAAAGCTTAATTGAAAGAGTTAGAGAGAACAAAATTCTGTAGAATGTATAGGATGCCTAAAATTCTTCTAAACGATGCATTCTCGGAAGACTGGAAATTTTCCGTATAAAGGCTTATTTTGATTTCCGTTTCCGCGTTAGACGGTTCCAGCTTAATCCAGAATATTTAACATCTTTTTCAGCCCCAAAGTCACGGGACCTGGAAATAATTCCGTTTAAGAGAATTCCGTGTAATAAAGGGTCCGTTTAAGGTAGGTTTAACTGCATTATGTTCTATATACATATGCATGTGTTTGTGTATATATGCGTGCGCACATACATGTATGTATGTATGTATTATACTACGTATACGCATGCACATTATGCAAAAGTCATGCCTGCAGCAGGCCGTGGAGGTCCATAGGTTTGTGACACGACGAGGCTCTCCTATTTTCTAAACAAGAGACTCATAGATGGCGGTGAGATTGTCAGGCTTACGCGCCGGTCGCCCTTTACCCACAGGAAGGTTCCTGGCAGGTACTCATTTCTGTTAGAGCCTGAGTCGACTCCACGGCCATAGTGCAGTCGGAAGGATTAGGTCAATTGAAAAATTCAATGAACTCATCGGGAATCGAATCTGCGACCTTCCGGTTTGTAGTATAGTGCCTCAACCAACTACTGTACCTATACATGTATACGTTTACGTATGTGCATACGTATGTATCCATGCATGTACATATATATATATGTACTATATATTCGTATGTATGCAAGTATAGAGGCGTACGCTTAATGTGTTACCAGTGTACACACATGAATATGCACGTTAGTGTGTGAGTGAATTTTGTACGTGTCAACAACATACTAACTTACTTACCCCACCTATTAGAAGCTGTTTCAGTATCCAAAAATATGTTTGAGTGACGTTGCTTCTTAGGCACAAGAATTCACCTCATGGGGTAAGCCAGTTGGAACCGTAGGCTAAATAAAAGTGAAACACCTCTCCCAGGAGACGTCACAGCCTGTCGCAAACGCGGGCACTGTGTGCTGCAAATAATCAGCAAATTTTTACTGATACGAGGAGAGATTAGCCATCTGCGGTGGGCGGAAAACAATGGGGTCATTCCTTATCTTCTCACATCGCTTGTGATACGAATTTTCTTCATTCTATACAGCAGCGAGCTTGATTGTAAAATTCCGTTTGTTGGTATAGATCATCATTAGTGTTATCTAACGGAGTAAGTAAAAAAAGTAAAGCTATCCCTGTACCAGGCCGTGAAGGCCCATAGGGTTGTGAGACGCTGAGGGTCCCACACTATCTAGACCACTGTTCCGCAACCGGTGTGCCGCGGCACACTGGTGTGCCGTCACAAGGTGAAAGGTGTGACGCGAACTTTTACCTATTGTAAGAAATTAATTCTCGAATTTTATTCGTTTTATTTTATCCCAGTTACCGTGTTTCATATGCTTGTATTTTATTCTCATCCACTGCAGTGATTAAATAAGGTGATGCTTGTTTATTCTTTATTACATGCTGTGATTTTTTATGTACAGTAATGTTGTGTTCTAAGAAATTAAACGTAAATTATTTACTCATTGTTGTTGTTATATCAGAGTTTTCATTCATGATTTTTTTTTCTCGCATCTACGCAGCTTCTTTGATATGCTTGCCGCATGTTCTGTGTACGCGATTTTCCCTAAAACTGCAGGGATTAGAATGGGGTTTCCTGTCTTTTATAACGCTGTTTTGGTATTTGCCCCTGTTTGTTAGAAGTTAGAGCTCCTTCAACTTTATGACTTTCTTCCTGTAACGATGCACCTACCGATTGTTGGACTTCATTTAAAATTATAAATATTTCAAAAGTAAGTCGGTATATGTGTCACTTCTTCCGTTTGAAGAGTAGAGATCCCGCGTTTTTACAATTGTTTCAGTTCTATCACAGCTGCGCTCTGAAGTAGTTCGCAAATTTTGGTTGCTAGTTAGAGAATTACAGATGGGTCGTTTGAGTTGTGCCCGACTGTATGGTCACTTGCTGACGGCAATAAAGTGGTGATGGACACAATTAAAGAACATTTAGAAATGCTGCAGCAGAAATTCAAGAAGTATTTTGGAGAGAGTGTACAAGATTTCGACTGGGTTCGTGATCTATTCGTTGCGAATTCAGAACATCTTCTGATTAATATACAAGAGGAACTCGCAGATTTAAAAGCAGACAGAGCGTTGAAACTAAAACTTCTCGAAGTGCCTTTGGATAAGTTTTGGTTGGCAATAAGGAGTGGATACCCGGCTATCTCCGAGATAGCAGTTAATGTGTTATTGCCATTTTCAACTACATAACGTATTTGTGTGAGCTGGGCTGCTTGACGTTAACTGAAACTAAGACATCAAAGAGGGAGCGGCTCAAATCCATTGATGAAGAACTGAGACTTGCGTTGTCAACGATTCCACCACGGATCAGTCGCCTGTGTGCAGCTACGTAGGCGCAAGTATCACATTGAAGTTATGAGTAGAATTACTGTATTTACTTTAATAGTAATAGAAGTGTCTTTTCTACACTCTACAGTGAATTAAAGTTCATTAATTGCTAATAAATGCATGAGTCGATTTCTGTTTAATGATAATAAAATAACAATATAATAATATTATAGTAAAAAGTTGATCACATTACGTATTTATATTAATTGTCTGAGATCATGCGTTTTTGAGGGGAATAACATTTTGGTGTGCCGTGTTGAGTCATGGATACTTCATGGTGTGCCGCGAGTAGAAAAAGGTTGCGGGACACTGATCTAGACAACCCGATCACAGATGGAGGTAAGGTTGTCAGCCTTACGCGCCGAGCACACTTTACTCCCCAGGAGAATTCTTTAATTAATTCCTGGTACTTATTTCTGTTAGAGGCTGAGTAAACTCCAGGGCCTAGTGCGGCTGGAAGGATTAGGTCAATTGAAAAAATTCAATGGCCTCATCGGGACTTGACCCCGCGACCTTCCGGCTTGTGGCATAGTGCCTCAACCAACTACGTTACCGCGTGCCCGCTAACGGAGTAAGAGGGCTCCATAACCATCATTTAAATAACCACCATGTCGTTCTTATGAGATATCCCACAGGAAGAGACTACGTCTATTTTTCTGCTCATTTTGAGAATGTCAGTTCACCGATGTTGAGATTAACATTTCCGGCAATGAAAATAAAATTTTCTCTTCTCCACAGCGTTCAGGCCAGTTTCTTGTCTAATAGGTACGGGTTACGAGGTGGGGTGGTCTTTCCCAAGAAGTAAAACGGCCAGAGAGTGAAGCTGACAACTCATCTCTATCTACTGCCCGTTACCCAGGAGGAGAGCTCTGTCCGTGATTGTGTGTGAGGGAGAGAAATTTCATTTATAATTCACTAACTCAGTTTTATGAGTGTTAAAGTGTATTAGTAATTGGCTCTTGTTAAAATTGTTATATTTCACGCCCCACCAACCAGCAACGAATATGCCACTCCTTGCTGGGTCAGAGCCCCTCTCCCAACGAACGAATTATGCAAAAGAGAAACAGCAACACCAAATTAGATATGGAAGCTTAATGTTTATTTCGCTGGCTTTCGTGCACAGATGTCAGGCACTTTCAGAGAGCTGAGACATCAAAAGTGAAGATAGTGACAATCAGCTCAAAAAAGTCTATTCGAATTCTATAACAAACGCAAATAATGATTTGATTGAATCTATTGATATAAAGAAATATAACTAACTAAATTCATTCCTTCTGGAGGAGCAGTCAGGTGTGCAGCTACTCAAGAACTACCCACCATTTTATTGAACCGTGTTCACAAGAGCCTTCCACTGGCCCCGATCCTGAGGCAGCTCAATACTGCCCTGTCTTTTCTCTCTAAGATTCATCTTTATATTATCCACCCATCTACGCCTTGTTCTTCATAGTGGACTACTTCCTTTTGGCTTTCCCAGAAATTCTCTACACATTTATCTTCTCCCGCATTCGCGTTATATTCCCTGTCCATCTCATCCTCCTTGACTTGATCATTGATATTAAAAAGTATACAGTATTAAAATTGATCTTAAAGAAAGGGGATGGAAGGTTTTAGAATGGATTCGTCCGGCTCAGGAGAGGGTCAGTGTTGAGCCCTTGTAAACGTGGTAATGAATATTCGGGTTCCATGAAAAGCTGGGAGCTTCTTGAATAGTTAACAGCTGTTAGCTTTCCGAGAAATACTCAGCTCCGAGCAGTTACAGCAACTGAACTAAATACACAAACGCAGGATATCCTTGTAATAAAATGATGTAAATGAAATCTGCCATTATTACAGTTCATCAGATTTTGTATTTATCAGAGTCATTCTCTCCCCATTGTTATCCGGGTCATTTATAATCATCGTTTGAATCAGAAACTCTGTCCAACTAACCAACTGCACGCAGCAAATTACTGTCTAAGAAGCTAATATTTGCTTAACTAATGAAGAAATAGCCAGCATTTAATGAAACACGATGGTTCATTAGTCTTTTCGCAAAAGTTCATCACTAGTCATTATCCTGAGCTAGATAAATCCAATCCAAACCTTTTTCTTTAAGAATAGTTTTAATATTATCCTCCCATCTGTGCCTGTGTCTCCCAATAGGTAAAGTAAAATAAAGGTATCCCTGTAACAGGCCGTGGAGGCCCATAGGGTTGTGAGATGCTGAGGTTCTCACATTTTCTATACAATCGGCTCATAGGTGGCGGTGAGATTGTCAGCCTTACGCACCGGCCGCCCTTTACCCCCAAGCATATTCCATGGTACTCATTTCTGTTAGAGGCTGAGTCGACCCCAGGGCCTAGTGCGGCTGGAAGGATTAGGTAAATTGAAAAAATACAATTATCTCATCGGGATTCGATCCTGCGACCTTCCTGCTTTGTAGCATAGTGCCTCAACCAACTACACTACAGAGCGTCCCCTCCAAATAGGAATCTTTCTTTAAAATTGGTGTCTCTATCCATTTTTCGTCTATCTCATGCGCCCTATATGCCCAACCCTTCTCACACACCTTGAAATGATCAGTTCAAATAATGAATAGTACTGCCTTCTGGGAAGTCACGAATTTGGTGAAGATTTGTCATTTTTGGGAAGACGTATTGGCTTTATCTTCAGGGTTGGAGATTAAGTGAGCAGCAAGCAGCTTCTCCCGTAAGGCCCTATGAATCATCAGTAAACAGGTTACACTTTGGTTGTCTTGAAAGGATTCTGACGATGGTGTATACTGCACTTCTTTTGGCTTATTTTGGACTTCACCCATCGTCTGGTATGTAAAAGACAAAAGACCACGACGTTTCGGAGACTGGATCTGTCTCCGTCTTCAGGTGGATAGGGAAGGATAAAACTACTCAGTTGGGCCCGTTAGAAATCAATCACTGTTCAGTGATTGAGACTAGTTCTTTCTAACGGGCCCAACTGAGTAGTTTTGCCCTTCCTTATCCACCTGAAGACGGAGACAGATCCAGTCTCCGAAAACGTCGTGGTCTTTTGTCTTTTACATACCAGACGATGGGTGAAGTCCAAAATAAGCCAAAAGAAGTACAGGTTACACTTTGTCACATCCCAGAAGAGAGAACACTTAAGAGTCACGGCCGTGGAAACCTCAAATACCACAAAATCCAAACTATACAAAAACTTAATTATACAGCTCTCTTCCTCAGCTGTCTACCGCAGTAAAATGCTTAACACTCAGAAAAATCGGTATATACAAAATATGAAATACTGGGAAGAACTAATCTCCCACTTTCCTTCATACGACACGGGCCGCATAGAAAATTACAGTGATAAAATACTTCTATTCTTGCTTATGTACTTTTTGCTGCGGTAACATTTTAGCGAACCGTTGCTTAACAACGATAAGGGATACACATAAAAACACTGACTGATGGAATGGATTTATGAAGTAGGTCGATAAGATGGGCTTACCTGCCATGATACTCATAACAAGTATTATAAAAGTGGTTCAGTCGTTCAAAAGTTGATGGGTGCTAC